TCTCCCTTGCTAATACCAATAGAAGTTCAATAGAATTTCTATTGCTAATACCAATAGAAATTCAGGTGAAGTGAATTCAACTGTATGGAGCTTTTTGCGCATTTTTTTTTTTTAAATGAGAATACACAAGACCTAGGAATATATGGAACTGTGCACTGCTGAAGGGAAGAAGTTCATCAGAAGATTAGGAAGAGAGTGGCAAAAACCCTGTTCTGGCATAAAACCCAACAAAGGTAAGCACATTTATGTAGAGGTGGCAGGGCCATATACAGGTAGTCCTCAATTTACAACCATTTGTTTAATGACCGTTCAAAGTTACAACAGTGCTGAAAGAAGTGACTTACGACTGGTCCTCACACTTACATTTGTTGCAGTGTCCCCACGGTCACGTGATCAAAATTCAGATGTTTGGCAACTGGCATGTATTTACTACAGCTGGAGTGTCCTGGGGTCATGTGATCACCATCTGCAACCTTCCCAGGGGGCTTCCGACAAGGAGAGTCAATGGGGGAAGCTGGATTCACTTAACAATCATGTGATTCACTTAATGACTACAATGATTCACTTAATGACCATGGCAAAAAGATCATAAAATTGGGTACAACTCACTTAACAACCACTTCACTTGGCGATGGAAGTTCCGGTCCCAATTATGGTCATAATTTGAGGACTACCTGTAATACTTGCCTGGTGCTCTCAGTCCCCAAATTTTTCAGACTGAGTGGCAATGTGTATTTCTATTCATGTTAATTTGAACATAAACAGAACTATACCCAATTAGCACACAACATTATCAGAAACCTAGCACTGTAGATTTATATCTGTGTTCTCTTGAGCCCTCTCTTTCAGAGAAGAAGCGGCCTGTGCACCCAGACACAGGACTAGCGTATGCATTTCTTCTAGCTGGGACTGGAGGATACTGAAGTCTGCGGACATCCTAGGAAAACACGGTTTATCTAGAAAAAAATCACATCCATTAAAGGATGTCCAAACTCTGTCCCTTAGTCATCTTTAATTTCCCTGTTCAAGTTTTAATGTCTGATGGGTAGAAGGTAAAAGGATATTGATACAAATTATAGTGAGCAGTATAAGATTTCTACAGGTTTTTTTGTACTTAGGACATTCACTTTGTAATATTTCTGTTTATATTAGTTTTCTATTATAACTTGGCTAGTTAAGTTTACTTTTTGCTATCATCTGATTTTAAATATATACTTTCCCAAAATAAATCTCCCTCACACTATGTAATGAAAATGATAACTGAAATTTAGCACGTTAAGCCAACTATTATTTTTTTAACACAAATGTACTCTACAATACTAATAAAAGAAATGGAAATCACAATCTTTAGCCCTGAGCAGATGGGAAAAGGGGGGCTAAGGAGGAGGTAGAATTATAAATTAATTATATTATAAAGCTGTGACAAATGGACATTTCTTTTTTTCCATTTAGCTTGCAAATTTTGGCCAATACATAAACAGTGGCTGTGTGGGCTCCAATAATCCATTGCCCAGACCACTATACACAGATTTTATACATACAAAATGCATTAAAATACACATTTGCAAAGCATATACATTAACATGACATCTAACCAGTAGAATATTTAGACAAAAACATAATGCTCTAATATGACAACTAACCAGAGGACCTGACAACTAACAGAGCTCACTGTCCTTTAAAGAAAACAAATCCCATCAGCTAAGTCTCAATAGCAGAACCCTTTGAAAGCTATATCTGTTGAAAGGTCTTCTGCCTCTCCCCTTCTACTCTTTGCAAACCCATGTCTGATAACCAAATCTTGAATTCAAGATTTAAATTTATATCATGAATTCATAAATCTTGCTATTTAATTTAAATATTTAAAATTTAATTTAAATATTGTAAATTAAACTTGCAAACACCTATACAGACGCTCTCCAATTTATGTAACTAAATCCACTCCAGAAAGTCTTGTTTAATCTGGCTTTTATGTTAGTCTGATATTTATCCATGCTCTGTACTACTTTGCACTCCATGAGTTAACACAGATTTTTATGCACCTTAAACATTTTAGATATGGTTTATGAAAACATTTGCACAAAGTTGAATTCATGTAGTCAGATCTTTATCTAGGGAACGTCTATACTAATATCTTGGAATATTTTAATATATACCCATTTGAATGTTAATGGCAAGTGAGCTATTTTCATTTCAATATTCAGCACAAATAGAAAATGGAAGTGGAAAAAAAATCTTTTATATTACTGCTACCCATTTAAAAGCTCTGTCAACAACTTTTAGACATTCCTATGGTCTATGCCACTGAGGGTTTGGGTTTTTTTTATTAACCTTGCAAGTATTTTGCAATTTCTTTTACAATAATTATCAGTGCTTTCGATTCAAACATCCAAATTAGGAGGTATTCTTATTGATCTCCTGGAAGGCTATGCAGTCTCAAGGTTGAACCATTCTGGGATGTGCTTAGAGCTGCAATTCTGGGTTCTATGGAGCAGCAGACAATCCTACTTGGATCCAAGCCAACAAAGACAGAATTCAAGATTTTTTTTTAATTACCTTCTCTTCAATCAAATGTTTTTCAGTTTCAATATTCTGTTTATCCTTTTCTTCTTCCTCTATCTTTGTCTTTTCAGCTTCTTTTCTTCTTTCTTCAGCTAATCTGTATAATTCTTCATTTTTTAACCTTTGCTATAAAGATAAAAGTGGAATAATGCAAACCAAATTTAATGTTGATGTTTTAACAGCTGATCAAAATGCATCTTTGAAGTCTTTTCTAGCACTGCGGAGAATGGGAAAACCTATCCATGTGTAAAATTACCAAGTGCACACTGGAATATTTATAAGTGAGAGACTTGTAAATCAAACTGATATATTTAAAATATTTCCATTTTAAATTAATTACATTACATTTATTAATTAATTAGTTTAATTACTTGCTGGGGCCTTTAGGCCACTCAACAGGACTCCTCCAATTAAGGAATGGAGATAGACACTTTCTTTCTTTACCCACATATTAATTAAAGGAAAGTTGGAGTGCTGGTCAAAAATATATACATTTTGCATAATAATTAATCCGCAGAAATATACAACCAACTTTTGACAATCCCTTTTGACAGAAAAAAATAGTATTTGACTTTTTTTTAAACTCATGATTTAAGGAATCTATTAGAGAAATAGTAGAATAATTTATTGTCTGATTTCTGGGGCAATAAAAAGAAGCCACTGTTCTCTTCATGGCAAGAATCAATCAATTCTAACTTGTAATTATACCTCTTCTTCTTTCTTTCTCCTCTTTTCCAGTTCCTCTTCATATTCTCTCTGTATTCTAGCCCTCTGCTCAGCTAACCTTCTTTCTTCCCTTTCTTCTTCAAGCCTTCGTTTTTCACGTTCTTCTTCTTCTCTTTTTCTTTTCTCCTCCATCTAGAAAGAAAATACCCAAGAAGTTTTTTGCTGTTTTCATAAAACTACTGTAATTAGACCTGGCTAGATCATTATGATCAACAATTGATCAGTGAAAGCCTTTTATGTTCACAGCAATCTTAATCACTAGATGATGCCTCAGTACTACTCACTCATCTACCATGAGAACTATAGCACCTCTTAGTACTTTTTATGGAGGTTACTAGCTATAGTAGACTAACTTTGGATACTCTAATAAAGAAGAGGAGAGGCAGTTGGGAGCTCATGACCAGGAAGTCAAGCAGGAACTGTGGAATTTCATGAGGAAGATTAATGGGGGAGAAAGTCAAGGTGAGAATACACTGATCACATCATGTAAGTTTAGCTACTGGGTGAGGAAACCAGAGCTCCAAATGGTGAAAATATAACGGTTCCTAAAGAATATAAAGGTAGCAACAATAGCTAGTATGAAGATCCTTTCTGAGGATACTATTCTATTTTCTTTCCCACTTGTCAGTTTTTATATTCTCTAACACTGAGCATTCTGTGACCTCTGACCACATTCATCCTCACTGAGATTTTTCAAAAGGTTCTATTGATGAAGAAGTGATATATTTGCAATTTTTGAATGAACCTAAGCTTCCTTATTTCAGCCTCTTACATTACTGGATGGTGCTTTTTGGGCTGTGTAAAGAATTTGGAATTTGCTATTACTAAATAAACACACTACTATTTAACCTGAACAAAACACCAAGCATAGCTCTACAGCAGCATTTAGAAAATGGAAATAAGCTAAATCAGAAAAATATTTTGCTTTGTTTAATATTGTTACAAACATACTTACTTGAAAACGAAGGAAGTTCTTATATGATTCTTGTCTCCTAAGCTGTTCTGGACTTGGGGGTTCTCCAAAAACATTACCACGAGCGAATGGGGAAGTTTGTGTATATGTAAAGCCTGGTTTTTAAAAAAAGGGGGAGTTGCAAGCATTGGTAAATCTGTCCTATTACAAATGATTTTAAACTGATGCTAGGTATCTTACTCTAAAGAATCTATAATTATGCTGTAATTGAATGAACTGCTACTATCCAATTTAATATATATTTGCAATTGAGAATCCAAAAGTATGTAACAAAAGCTTTTTAAAAAATCAACTGGATTTTTCTATATTAGGCACTATCTAGCTCCGCTGGGAGTAAAAACAAAAGCTACAGATTTAAAAGAACTAAAGTTTTCTCCATCTATACTTCGTTGCATATTCACAAAGATTACAACATAGACCACTAAGAGAACTGGAGGTCAAGACATAATGTAGTATATGCCCTTCAGAGCATAAGAACCTTACATAAGGGAGAGGGGAGAGAAAATGGCTGATAGAAACATGAATATGCACATCCCCCTCCCTCAAGGATTTCTTTATTCATTCTCTAGATACAACATACATGGACACATTGACAAGGGAAAAGAAAAAGAAAACAACCAAGCCTCTAATTAATCCATTGACATATTCTATATTCAAGGGCTATACTGTGATGCTCCGAGTTGTGCCTAAAATAATCTCAGCTTTAGAAAACATATGACAAGCGGTAGAACACTTTTAAATTATTTAATATGATTGGCGGGGGAGGGAAGGTTTTCAGGAAAGAACTATATCTGGCATATTACTCTATGTCAAGTTAATTTCACTGTTTGTTTTCTGATTCATCTTACTTGAAATTTAAAAGACAACTGTGTTTTTTAAAAATTATTACAAAATTGAAAATGCTAAAATCAATAGAAAAAATCTACTATCACTGGTTGGTTTTGAGGGTGTCAAAACCTTGAAGGGAAGTCTAGTATTCTGACAATTTTTTTTTCTCAAAAAACTAAAAGTGTTTTACATTTCTCATATTCCTTCTCATTTCCCATGTTCCTGTACCCTGATAGAGAATCCTGGGTGTGATTTCTTTTTTAGAAAATAAATTTACTGTGATTAAGATAAAGCAGCCCTAGAGCAGCATTCTGCACCCACTGCATATCTGTATACACCTGAGCTACCCCAATTCTCTTAAAAAAATATGCATTGATTGCAATCATGTACATCAAAAAAAACCAACCTGCTTTGGCTTCTATAACATCCACTTTTCCCCTTCAAAACCAAGAATGCAACATATTTTAAAAAGCAGTAATTTCTATTTCTTCACTCAGAACCATACAAAGGCCCTGAAACTGAGCTGCTTCCTCCATTCTGCTAAAATGGAAATTGTGTAAAAGATGTTTAAAAAGCATGAAATAAAAGGGGCACCTCCAAAAGGAATCCTGAAGCAGAATCGCATATATCACATTAGGCAGGTTTTTAAAGTTTGTTTTCAAAGAGTACAGTATGGTGGCTATTACAATATCCCACCAAGTTGTTTTTTTTTAATTGTAATTTGTGAACATGCCACTCCAGATTTGTTCCAGATGAACAAATTCCTGCTTTGATTTCTTTCCTGTTTTAGCTGCTCATCTTGCATCTTTATGACTGCTTAAAAGCTTCTTGTTGTTGGTTCTCATTTTTCATTTTCATTTTGTATTATTATATTGACATTTTTAACTGTGGTCATCAGAGTCACTTATGCAAAATGGGCGCCCATATGAAAATAAATAAATAAATAAGCAAGCAAGCAAACTTGAATTGGGCTCAAAAAACAAACCAGGAATAAATCAAGAAACCACAAACAACCCAACTATCCCCATTTGCCTATTATGCTAGGCTACATTTGCAATGAAACATTAAAAAATCATGGTTTTATTGCCCTAAAATGATGGTTATTCATTGATTCATTTATCACACTAAACAAAAACAAATCCCACTCATTATGCCTGACCCCAAAATATGAATCCAGCCTGTAAATGACTGGAAAACCCCCTGCATGTGCACACAGTCCATTTTGGTGCAGATCTGGAAGTTATAAGGATGTAACAACTTTTATTAAGGTAATAATACAGTGTTAGTACTACTTAACTTTATCTGCTTTAAGAGGATTGAAGGAAAAAAAATAGAGGATTGCCTTCAGTGGAAAGCACAGCATAGGAAGAATGAACAATAATTTTGACCAATGACATAACACAGTTGCAACTGAAAGTATATTAGCATTTAAACCTGCTATTTTATTTGTAGATTCATCTGTATTCTCAAGTCTTGGTGAGGCCAAACTTAGGTCAACAGATACTATAGCTCTTTTATCTTCATATGCTCGTGCCTCTGGATTATGATACGCATCTTCATTTTGCTTGTGCATCATATTCAAGTCCGCTGAAGAAAAGGGGGAAACAGCCATTTATAATATTTTATTCCAACAAGTGGCATGTTTATAATAGTTTCAAAAAATGTTATTTTAGAGCTACAGTTAAAAGGATGCACAAAGGCCTCATTCAAAGACAGAATTACATGTGTTGTATACAATATTCTTTATTTAAAATTCTACTAAAAATCAAGTAATTTTTAAAAAACTTTTTAAAAATTAAAAATATTATCATCCGGTTTAGCTGTAAGAGTGCAGGCTTCTCAATTTGTAGTACTCTATTTCAATAATGTTATTACATTTTAGTTTTACCTAAAGGGTAATGCAAGATTTACTTCAAAACTTATGTATTTTAAAACTTTATATATGATGGGTTGGACTGACAATCTGCTTCCTGTCAACAGAATGGTGTCTTCCCTTTACAAGAAGGCTTTTAATTCAACAGAGCATTTTCAATGAATGGAGAGAAGTCAATTTTGGTTAATTTCCCCATCCTCCTGCATTTCTCTGAGAAATGTTTCTGAGAATCTGCTTCAGAATATTTCAGACATGGAAAGTGCAGGAAAAAGAGAATTAACAAAAATGGCTTTTACCCCTTTCTCCCAACTTGAGCACAATGAGCAGAATTCTACCCAGGAAGCAATCTACCCAGTGAAAAGAAACAATGGCTCCAGCCGAACATTTTTAAACATTCAATGTGACTTTTATAATTCTGATTAAATTATTATTAAAAATATTATACAAATTATAATCTCTACTGAGTATATAGTTGCACCAAAAGGACACATACAACTTATGTGAATAACAATTAACATTAACTGAGTTTTTCTTTATTTTAAAAAACCAGAACTTCTAACACAGGATGGTATGTGCTAAGAAATGACACTTCAAGCTTTCATAGGTATATTGTGACTCAATTGCCTCTTTTTTGAGAATATATAAAGAAAGGCCTACAAGGATTTTTTTTCTTGGTCCAAGTACTTAAGATCTCACAGAGCTCCCCCCTTGCTCCAACTACAATTTCTTATTGCATTTTGTCAAATCTTTTTAAAAATCCTCTTAAAGAAACAGTTCCCACTGAAGCAAGTGCAAATATTTTTCAACCACACTATTTAACCAGGAAAAAAAATCCTTCTATGCTGTAAATTCGCTGTAGTACATCCATTTTACTCTTCTATCAAGATGCCATTTAGCACTGAGTATATATAAACAGCTATAAATCTGACTAAGTAAAAGGAAGATGATCAGACTTCCAAACATACTTATGAGATTTCCTTTTTTATCTCTGAGAGGAGCCCCGCCACCTCCTTTTCCCCAAGGGTTGTAATTTTTCATTTCAGCTTCTAATTTGGCTTCATAGCGTTCTTTTTCTTCCTTTTCTTGCCTACGACGTTCTTCTCTTTCCCTTATCTACATAAAATATACATAAAATAGCGATTATTTTTAACTAATACTGAACTTGAACAAATTTAATATTGACCTATATTGTCCTATCACAATATATAGTTAGAAATTAAGTTAAACAAAAATGTCCAATTCTTTCAGTGCTGTATAAAAGGATAACCAGTAATACACAGGCCAGCACTAAAAATAATAGGCCTGTGTATTACGGGTTATCCTTTTATACACCACTGAAAGAACTGGACATTTTTGTTTAACAATTTCTAACTATATATCATGATATATAAATATACATGCTTATTGATAAATCACATGGCATTTTTGGAAAGCTATGTCAATGTTTATATTTTGTAAGTATTACAGGGGTTTGATCTTGTAACAATGGTGTAATTAATATTTTGAAGTTGGAAATATACCACAGACCTTATTTACCATAAATAAACACAAACACACAAATGAGAAAAGTAAACTAATACAGAACTATCAGGTATGTTTTTTGATTCAGAATGTTACACAGTTTTATACAGCAAATATTAATACTACTATAATTGATTGACTGATTGCTGCCCACTCCAAAAGACTCTGGGTAGCTGACAACATATTGAATGTACAATTAAAACAATTAAAAACATAACAACAAAACGTGACAGCCCAGATAAGAAAACAGACAACATACTAAAAAAACACAATAGGAGCTCTACAACACACTAAACCCAGGCCTGGGACAGAGCCAGGTCTGAAGGGTCTTCCGGAACCCTAGGAGAGTGGGTGCCATACATAACTCTGGGGGGATGCTGTTCCATAGGGCAGGGGCTATGACAGAGTAGCCACGCTTCCTCAGTCCCATAAGATGACAATGTCTAATTGAGGCACACCCATTCTGCTTGAATGTACAGACAACCAGAAACAATTAGAGACAGGTGGTCCTGCAGATTACCAGGCCCTATGCCATGAAGGGCTTTATAGGTGACAACCAGACCCTTGAATGGCACCCAGAAGCCAAATGGCAGCTAATGCAGCTTACGTAGCAGCTAAGACACACAGACATAATGAGAAATGTCCATTACTGCTCATGCTGCTGTATCTTGGACCAGATGTGGTTTCCAATGGTCTTTAAGGGCAGCTCCATGTACAGCACATTGCAACAGTCCAGCTGCAAGAAGACCAGGGTCTGTATAACTATCAAAAGGTCTCCTGGTCAAGTAAAAAGTAAAACTGGTACACAAGATGAACCTGTCCAAAGGCCCTCCTGGCCACAGCTGCCACCTGCTCTTTCAGCAATAGCTACGAGTTCAGGAGGATCTCCAACTTGTGCTTCCAGTCTCAAATGGGGAAGTGGAACCCCAACCAAGACTAACATGAAAACTTCCCAAACCCATGTGCCCCAAACAGCCACAACCACTGAGTCTTGTCAGGATTGAGATGAAGTCTGTTCTTCCCCCTCCAGACCTAAACAGCCTTCAGACACTGAATTAATAGTTTTACATGCGCAGCCCAAGGTTCAGATGTACAGTTGGGTATCATCTGCACACTGATGATACCAAACCCTGAACTGACTGATGACCTCCCTCAACAGTTTCAGGTAGATGTTAAAGGGGGGAAAAGAGCGTCAAGCAAGGGGCTGCATATGGGATCATTTCCCTCCTATCAACAACAACTGGGAAAGACCACCGAAGGAGGTGAACCACTGCAACATAGTGCCCCCCACTCCTAACTCCCACAGCTAGTCCAGATGAATATCCTGGATAATGGTATTGAAAGCCACTGGGAAATCAAAGAGCAAAAAAATGGAGGCACCACCACCATTCAGCTCCACCAAATGTCATTGATAAGCATGATCAGCACAGTCTCCATACTATACCCTGGTCTGAAACCCGACTAAAACTGGTCCAGCTAATCTGCTTCCTCCAAGATCCTCTGTAGCTGCCATCCAAACACCTTTTCCATAACTTTCCCACCAAAAGAAGTTTGGAAACTAAAGGTAATTGTCCAGGATGGCCTCTTGAGAAGCGGGTGCACCACTGCCTCCTTTAAGGCTGGAGGGACCACTCTTCTGTCAAAGACGATGCTACCACCCACTCCCTGGTTACCTCCCAGGCTGCCTTGATAACTCAGGAGGGGCTAAGATCTAACAAACAGGTGGCCAACCTGGCAGTTTGGAGGTTGGCAGAGAAAGTTGAGAGGGGACATGATAGCTGTCTTCAAATATCTGAAGAGCTGTTACACTGTAGAGGTTTTGGATTTATTCTCACTTGCTCCAGAAGGTGAGACTAGAACTAATGGGCTGAAACTTCAAGGATACAGATACAGATTAGACATTAGGAAGAACTTATTGACAGTAAGAGCTGTCAATCAGTGGAATAGGTTACTGCACAGAGTGCTTTCTTCCCCTTCATGGGAGGTTTTCAAACAGAGGCTGGACGGTCATCTGTCAAGGATGATGCAGTGAATCCTGCAGTGTGCAGGGGTTGGACCTGATGACCTCTTAGGTCACTTCCAGTTGTATGATTCTATGACCTTGTCCACTTCCTCAGAAATCACAACTGAACTCAGTTCAGATATGCTCACGAGACTGTGCCCTGGGCAACTCACTTGGACCTGCCTAGTCAGTCCAACTTAGAATGAATCTGAGCAACTCTATTCACCAGATAGTATGAACACCCTTCACCACAGCTCTGAACAACAGGGAACAGGCTGTCAGGTGGCTATCAGTCAATGCAGTAAGGGCAAGAAATATCTTATTGCCACAGTGTAGACCTAAATATGGGCTCTCACTCATGTTTGGTTGGATTCACTCTTTGCCTTTCTCCAATGGTGCTCCAATGGCACTTCATCTTCCAGAGCTCTTTGCAAAACCAAGGTGCATCCTGGGATCAGTGCACAAAGAGAGGCAGCATAGGAGCAATCTGGCCCAGGGCCTGAGTCACCTACCTATTCCAGGCTGCAATCAAGGCCTCAGCCAAATTGCCTGCCAGATCCTCAGGGAAACCCCAAGCTCCCTCTGGAACCCAACCCAGGGCCCATCAGTCACCTGGACAGGCCAATCTATAGGCCCTGGTTAACCCCAGAAATTAAAAAACTACATTAGCAAAATGTGTTCATTTTTTTTTAAAATAAATTATATAAATACAGGATTAGGGATTATTTTCCTCAATAAATAAATGAACAAGTATAATGTTTTTGACTCATTTGTTTAACTGAGTTCTCATTATCTAGTTTTAGGACTTGTATGGAGAACAGATCTTGTTTCAGGTCATATTTATCCAGATATACTGAAAATTCAAAAGTTCACAAACTTTTAAGTACCACTGTATCATTCTGCTCCCTTTAAACCTTACCATCTTGCATAATACTTCCATATACATGGAGAGCAAAAGGGGTGGACAAGAGGGGGAAGAAGAGAGAGGGAAAGAAGAGGGCTCTATTTGTATTGGCAATGTACCCAAAGTAGCCTGGATCAAGCTGCTTGTTTTAAATGCACTGTGATTTCAATGTTTATCTAGAAATTCAAAGTGTATAAATATAATATCTAAGTGTATCTCATGCTTTGCATCACAAATGGGACATATTAATAAAAAATGATAAGTATTAAATTGTTATTTCTCACTAGAAGATACAAAGATCATTTGGATTACTCATGAGGAATTACATAGCAGAAAATATTATTTACTCTTAAAATCTCTCTTTTCCCTTATGAAAATTTCTTTTAAAAAACAACACCTCAGTTCAAAATACAAAAATAATTTCTGGAGAGATTTCAGCTTCCCACCTGCTGTTGTAATTCTTGCTGATAAGCTAAGGTAGCCTCTCTTGTGGGTTTTGGTTTTTCTTCAGGAAATATTCCCAAACCTTTTGGTCTAATACTTGCAATGCTTGCTTCAATTTTACTGCTGTATTAAAAAGATTAAAAAAAGATGCAATATGATTTTAAACAAACTGTATTTTAAGTGAAGTTTTCATAATTTTCCCCGTATAATCTTCTCAGCTACAAAAGTGAAGTCTGTTTTTTATATTATGTTAAGTTCTGAAAGCTGGCAATCATTTCCAAACTACATTCATAACTAGAAATAAACAAACAATATAAACTAGGCTTAGCTGTACTTACATAGGCACAGCAGGAGGTTTTTGAGTAGTATCAAGAGGTGGTGGTGCAGATGAAGGCTGTACCCCCATTGCACCTGCACCATCTAAAATAGCAAAAACATCCAAAATGTAAATCCCAGACATAAAGCAACATAAAATATAAACATCCTGAAATAATAAATATCAAATATTATCATCAGAAGCATAAAAGTGAAAATACTGTTAACTGTAAGATCAGTTGGCAAATGCTACCAGGATTACAAAAAAAAAAAAGATGCTAAAAAATGAGAAGTTGATTATGTGCATGCCTGGGCAGCCAAGGGAATGCTGTCAATATAATCTATATTGCTTTCAGTAAAGCTTTTGATTAGATTCAACATAATATTCTTACTGACAAATTGCTAAAGTGCTTTTGATGGCATTATAGTAAGGTAGGTCCACCACGGACTAGTTAACCAGAGAGTTAGCATTAATGGCTCTATATTGAGGGTGGTCCTGAAGGGATCTGTCTTGGGGTCAGTATTATACAACATTTTAATTAATAGCCTGGATAGTAAGACTAATGAGTTGCTTATCAAATTTGCAGATGACACAAAACTGGAAGGTCTGGCCAACACCCCAGAAAACAGAATGAGATTGAAATCTACTAGACAAGCTGGGCTAAGAGGAACAAGAAGTCTTTCAATAGGGAGAAATGTAAGGTATTATATTTAGAGAGGAAAAATATAGGGCATGCATTACAAAATGGAGGATATGGGATTTGGAAGCACTGTATCAGAGAAGGACTTAGGTGTGGTCATTGGCAACAAGGTAAACATGAGCCAACAATGTGAGGTATTAGAAGAGCCAATGTAATTCCAGACTGCATCAGAAGCAGCACTGTATGAGACATATGAAGTCCCCATTACCTTCTACTCTTTACTAGTGAGACCATATCTGCAGTAATGTGTATGATTCTAGGCACCACATGTCCAGAAGGATATTGACAGGTTACAAAGGTTCAGAGGAGGGCAAAGAAAATGATATGGAGACTTAGGATATGCCATACAAGGAGAGGCTGAAAGATTCTAAAACCCTAACCCGGCCCTCCCAAGGCCTCCCCCGGCCTCCCCCTCTCCCCACAGCACCCCCGCACTCCTTACCTGGGACTTCTGCCTCTTTCTGCTTAACGCCCCGTGCATCCTGGGGTTATGAAGACAACTGGGGCTGCTGGGATTTTCATCACTAAGCAATGTAGCCATGTGATAGCACACTTTATGACCACATCGCTTAGTGATGGCAATCCCAATTGCCGTCGTAACCCGAGGACTACCTGTACTATTTTTCAATTCCACCAGGTCAAATGAATCAGAAGAAAAAATACACTTCCCAGAATGCACATGGCAGAAATAATTTTAAATAGAGGAACAGTTTAAAACAGCTGTTTTTCTTTCTCCCATTTACTTCTGATGTTGTGGGGAAAAGGGAGGGTAAAAGAGAAAGCTGAAAGGGTTGTCATCCAAGCTGTTTCAAAGATATCCAAGATTTGGGATGAGGTAAGCACTACTTGGGAACTTTTGACCCATCTTGCATCTCCATATTTCCATAATTCTTCACTATCCCTCATTCAGTAATATTTATCCATAAAAAAAAGCTGTATCTTAATATTTCAAACTTATCACTCTAAAAAAAGAATAAAATAAAACTTACAATATGCAAGGCTGGGATCCAAAGGATTTCTGGTGCCATAGAAGTAGTAAGCATCATCATATGGAGTTCTATAGCTATCAGTCAAAATTGGTGGAGGAAGTGGTGGTGGAAGGGGTGCAATTCTAGATAAAAAGAGATGAGGCAACTTTTTAAAATGGTATAGAAGTGTTGTTCATCCATAAACATCAGTTCCAGTAAGCTCTAATTGGAGTTGCACTATCCCTGAAAGAACAGATCAGTGAGTTGGGGGTTCTTCCAGATTTGCCATTACCACTAGAAGAGAAGGTAGAGGCGATGGCTAGGGGTGACTTTGCCCAGCTTAGGCTACTGAGCTAGTTATAGTTCTGCTGTGGCAGGAAGTTCTGATGATGGTGAGCAATATCCTCAACATCACATACTGTAATGGGGCTGCTTTTGAAGTTGACTTGGAAGCTATAGCTGAAAGAATGCAGCAGTAGACTGCTGGTAGGTTAAGTCTGACTGCTGCAGTATTACACCTTTTTTTAGTTGCTGCACTGCTTCTGGCCCCAAATCAAAATGTTAATTATTGAATTATTGGAAATTTAAGAAATCTACACAGTAAACTCACGGACAGCACACAGAAAATGTTCAAAGGATATACTCATCAAATGTATATATTTAAATACAAAGGATGCAACATTGCTATTAAAAAGGGATGACATTCCTTTAAAGCTTGGAGATATAATAACATTCTACCAGATGCCCCTCTGGATACACTTAGAAAGCAAATTACATTTTTAATTTTTGCTCAAAAAAAAAAAAAGATTAAATATAGTGGGCTGTGCCATCTTGTCTGAAGGTTTTTATGGATGATGGTAAAGCCTCCTCTTACTCAAGAGAGGATGCTAATCATTAACAGGAAGAAAATAAGCCTCCCCCCCGAAAAAAATCCAGAACAGACAGAAGATCAAACATTTGATTAAGTAGCAGCTCTTTTTCCACAAATTTAATTAATAACTGAGCTCATGGATCAAATCAAAATATTCTCAACAAGTATTAATGGATTGAATAGCCTATTTCAAAGGAAACAGATATTTCTGAAATTAATCAAGGAAAATGCAGATATTATATGTCTACAAGAAATACATATTAAAAAAAAGACAATGCTAGACCATAAACATTTAGATAAAAAATGTAGGAAAAATCTGATGGAAAAAAAAGAATAGAGTAGTTACATACGTCAGAACTATCATGGAATTTGAAAAAACAGATAGAAGATGAAGTAAGGAGATTTTTACTATTACAATTTCAACTGAATATGAGAAAATTACAATTGCTTCAATTTATGCTGCAAATGAAAAAAAAATATAGAAAAAAGTTTTAAATGCTTTTTGAAATTACGGAGGGAGATGTTTTGATTCTTGGAGATATGAATCAATTTTCCTGCAAATCCTGATAAATCTGGTAAACTTTCAAAAATGTCCTAGACCATATGTCATTACTTTCAGAAGCATGGAGATATAAGTATCCTTTAGAGAAAGAATATTATTATTCTGTCCATAAAACTTAAGAAGTGACATACGTACATTAGTTGTCTAGCTTATTTTTAACTGACATGGAATTTACAGCATTTACTTATTCATATCATGTACGAATGGTACATGTACACATCAGTAATGGTAAGACTGCACAAAGGAATCTGACTCAAAAGGGTGGAGATTGAATAATTTATTATTATTGCAAGAAGATATTAAACTGAAGTGCTAATCTGAGTTAAAGAGCTTCTTCCAAACTAACTTCTGATATTTGTTTATGGTATATGGAAAATGTGTACAAGAGGGACATTCATTTCTTTGGCATGAAGCAATCAGAATCAACGAACAAGCAAAATCCAGTGTTTGATCTAGAACAAAAGATTAAAGTGATGTGTAATGAACTAGATTTAATGGAAAATAAATGAACTTACAGAAACCATAATTTAAACCTGTTAATGGTTACCTAAAACACAACTTCACATTAAAAGAAACACAGAATTAATACCACTTTCTCCCATGTTTTCCTTCTTCTCAAAGCAATGCCTAGATTAATACAATACAGGAAAGGAAGCTATTACACAATACATTTTCTATATGTGGTTAATGCAACAGTCCAATTCGGATACAATATACAAATCCAACTTAAGAAATGCATAGGTTCCTGGACACTTTGTCCTCTTAACTCTGCTTCATTCCTACTTTCAAGCATACAAAAGGATCCACATATTTTTGAGAAGTTTATTTTTTTCTAACCCTTGTTAATTATACCTTCTCTGCATGTATTGGGAAAGTACGGTTAACCAAAAACTTATTCAGTTAATCACAGTCACCAAAAAGCACTAATGTGAGGACGAAGTTTATGGGCAGAAAAATTACATAGTTCCCATTTCTAACCATTATCTAATTTTAAAGTGAACACTACTGAAAATCACCTGGGAGCCAACATTTCTCCAAGTGCACTGGACAAGCCTCTATGGTAATCTTCATTCACTGGTGACACAGGAGGTGCAGATATGGAAGTAATTCCAGGAGTGGGAGTATGGAAAGCTGGTCTTGGTCTTTCAGGTGGTATTTTCTCCTCAGGTATTTGTGGCTTTAATCCCAACTCTTTTAGTCTGTTGGGCTATGAAAGAAAGTTGGTTTATTTATTGCTTAGTTTCTTACGTTACTCAAACTGTTTCAGGTCTAAGAACACTAGGATCTGGAATGGAATATTGGATACTTACCATGAAGTTTCATTCTGTTTGGTATGACAACCAACATAAGGTTGTCTCCTCATACCACTCAGAAGGAAAATATTACAGTGGGGCAAAAAAATATTTAGTCAGCCACCAATTGCACAAGTTCTCCCACTTAAAAAGATGAGAGAGGCCTGTAATTTTCATCATAGGTATACCTCAACTATGGTTTCATCTGACCATATGACATTCTCCCAATCCTCTTCTGGATCATCCAAATGCTCTCTAGCAAACTTCAGACGGGCCCGGACATGTACTGGCTTAAGCAGGGGGACACGTCTGGCACTGCAGGATTTGAGTCCCTGGCGGCGTAGTGTGTTACTGATGGTAGCCTTTGTTGTAACAAAGGCTACCATCAGTAACACACTACGCCGCCAGGGACTCAAATCCTGCAGTGCCAGACGTGTCCCCCTGCTTAAGCCAGTACATGTCCGGGCCCGTCTGAAGTTTGCTAGAGAGCATTTGGATGATCCAGAAGAGGATTGGGAGAATGTCATATGGTCAGATGAAACGTAACAAAGGCTACCATCAGTAACACACTACGCCGCCAGGGACTCAAATCCTGCAGTGCCAGACGTGTCCCCCTGCTTAAGCCAGTACATGTCCGGGCCCGTCTGAAGTTTGCTAGAGAGCATTTGGATGATCCAGAAGAGGATTGGGAGAATGTCATATGGTCAGATGAAACGTAACAAAGGCTACCATCAGTAACACACTACGCCGCCAGGGACTCAAATCCTGCAGTGCCAGACGTGTCCCCCTGCTTAAGCCAGTACATGTCCGGGCCCGTCTGAAGTTTGCTAGAGAGCATTTGGATGATCCAGAAGAGGATTGGGAGAATGTCATATGGTCAGATGAAACGTAACAAAGGCTACCATCAGTAACACACTACGCCGCCAGGGACTCAAATCCTGCAGTGCCAGACGTGTCCCCCTGCTTAAGCCAGTACATGTCCGGGCCCGTCTGAAGTTTGCTAGAGAGCATTTGGATGATCCAGAAGAGGATTGGGAGAATGTCATATGGTCAGATGAAACCATAGTTGAGGTATACCTATGATGAAAATTACAGGCCTCTCTCATCTTTTTAAGTGGGAGAACTTGCACAATTGGTGGCTGACTAAATACTTTTTTGCCCCACTGTATGTAGTCTAAGTTTCAATACAAGGTCCTCTGTTACGTGACTTCTCCTTGATGGACAAGCTTCGGACAAATAAAATGAGACTATAATATACAACCTGAGAGGCATATTAGGTTGTATAAAAAACTAAGCAGCGGAACATGGTTTGTATATATTTTGAATCAGTCAGCTAATCTGACTAGAATGTGTTTTAAATACCTCCATCATAGCAAACCAAAAGGAGCTTTCATCATTAAGTACTTAATATTTCATTTTCCTTTTAGTGGAAGAAAGCATATAATGAGATGTACCTAATATAATACCTAGATGTAGAAGGTGCCTCTACCAGGTCTGCCCACCCAACTAAGATAGTCTGGGGTGATCCAGAATTATTGCCTTTAGCTGTTATTTTCTGCCACCATCTTCTATTTCTCCTTTCAACCAGGATTACAGACACAGGCCAAAGAAGAAAAACAGCTTTCCCTTTTCTGCTGAGAGCACAAGGGCGCCATAAGCCCATTATCTGTTGCTCAATCTGGAGGACCTAGGTTTCCAATGCACATTATCAGGCTACAACCACAAAACATGAATACCTGTTCTGAATAGCATTTGGAGTTTTTAGGGAACACAGGAAAGCAAAAAAGGCTGGATAAAAAAATATACTTCAAAAGAGGAATTTTGTACAAAGAAAGAAACGGTAGGTTCAGCTAAGATAGTCATTATACTTTAAAGAAAGCAGCCTTGAAGACAATCAAATGCCTGCCTTGAGCATGTACAAAATATAAAGAAACTCTAATGTCACTCCCTCGAACTATTCACTGAACCTAGATGTCTGGGTTATATTCCCCCAGGCATCTTAGAAGATGTCATCCCTCAATGGGGTGGGGTGGGATATTAGATTCCTTTCTTTCCTTCCCCACAGCCAACCTTTGTTCCTGATTCAAAATAACAAAAGCTTCCATCAAACTCCTCTTGTGCTATTTAAACTCAAGGGAAGATGAACTGTTCTTGCTCAAGTACTGACCAACCAGCCCTCACACATTTATCTTACTAAAGGTAGAAGGAATTAGTCTAGAGATCTACTGTTGGTGTATTTTGTTTTAATAAGAATCTCTAAAAGCTCATGTTGCTAGAGGTACCCATTAAACAAGGGAAGGGTGAAAAGTGATGGAGACTGTGAAGAAGCAAGCATATGCCATAACATTCATATCTCTCAGTTCTTTAAGTATCTATGAAGGATGAAATGGTGTAACAGGCTGTGAGCTACAGATGGCACAGAATAATTTGTGATGCGGCCCAGCACAGGCATAGGCTAGAAGTGGTTTTTTTCCTTTAAGGACTGAACTGAATGGAAACAAATCATTGTTTTGCATGACAGTTTGTATTTGATAATATGCAGACCAGATGCCTGTGGCATGTACCACTGCCTATTGTTGCACAACATGCCAACCTAAAGATGACTTAGGATATCTTCACTTTAAAAAAGAAAGGCAAAAAGTTATTATTAAACAACCTAGAATTGTACAATTTCTCTTACAGAATTCAATTGTTTCCCTCTCCCCTTAGTCTGAGGGATAAAGGAGAAACTGTTTGGAGGTCAGAAGGCCCAAATAAATAACTATTTCCTTCTTGTAGCCTAGGAGGAAAAGTTCTCCAATGAGTTGGCAAACTGCCTCATGGCAATAAATGGAGATCAAGTGATTTTGCAGCTGGTTCCTATGGAAATTGGAAGAATTAACAGACTAAATCTACTTAGTTGTCTTAGATTTGATGCTCTTTTTTCCTCGAGGGGAAGAGAAGAAAGATCTAAGGACAGGTCAGAGGCAAAATGGATACTTTTAAGTATTGCAGAAATATAAGGCAACTATTTCTCCTTTTATACCTCTAAAAATTTCCCAAATAGTGTCTATTCCTACTCAGATTTGGAGTGGAGCCCTTGACATGTCTCACAAAGCCTAATGGAAGCTGTAGACTCACGACCTAAAGCTTCAACCCCATACAGGAAGGTAGGCTAAAGAAGTTGTAATATTGATTGCCAGAGACTTGAGAATAACTGTTCATTCAATCAGAAGAATTCTGCCAAGTTCAAGGGTTTGCTGGGAGTTGGAATTATTTCTCCTGCTTTTCCTGCTACCTGGTGGTTAGAGTAAAATATCCTCTGAACCACATTTTGAAGGGGGTTAGGTTAAAATGCTGCATTCCTTCTGTGATGCATTACTACTCCATTTATCTGGAGTAGTATCTTTACTTGAGCATTTTTGACCAAATTTGCCCCAATGGTAGCAATGAGTGGTATGTACAGGCTCCAAACAGTATGAGCAAGAACTCATAAACTCCATCAGAACTGCATGGATACATGTGATTGTAGTAGGAATCTCTGAAATATCTGATGCATTCATTTAAGCTTAGTACAGGAGCACACTGTCTTCTTTTCCTGTGACTTTCACAGCAGGGCATTTTTCTGATGAAACTACAGTTTGGAGGAAAAGGGGATAGGCAGTGGCCCAAAACCCAGAGGAGTTAAACAATGAAGAAAAGGAGAAAAAAAAGAAGAAGAAATTGCATTGAGAGAAAGAGAACTGAAATTGAAATTAGCGAGAGAAAGAGAATAAAAGCAGTAAACTGTAAGAGAGAAGATGAAGGAGAAATTCTATCAATGAAAGGAAAAGTACACAGTATTGGAAATAATATTGAAATATAGCATAATCCATGCTTTTTGGGATAGTAAGAGACAACCCACTGCAATATGTTTCTTCACATCTGGGAATAATGTTTTCAAAAGTTGTACTATGATCCCTGAAATACAGACGCAGAGTAATTTAGTGTCAGTGATTTTCTGAACTACCATATTTTTTGCCATTTGCTAAATAGGCTAATAATAAAGAGAATTAGCTCAGTCACTATAATCAGCATGCTTGTTCATTCAAAAAAATTGGAAAAAAATATTTTAAAGAAGAGTAACATCTTAGAGCACTTAATCTGAAGGAGGTTGAAATATTTTCAATAAACATTTCTAAACATTAGCAAGCCAGAATTCAAGATAGATAGGCAGATACTCATTTAATTACTTAAAACTAATAAGAAAATTTAACATGTTAGAAATATTTGCTAGATAAAAATGTTTACTGAACATTCTAGGAGGTTGCAAAAAGAAGTGATAACAATGAATTTAATCCAAAAAGCATGCAGATTTCAAAAGCATCCTAACTATTCCAGATTCCATGACAACTACTTTTTTTTTTTTCAGTTCAGTTTTATAAAACTGAGAGAAACATGAAAGTATAACACGTTTCTGGAATAAAGCTTTTGCATCTCTATATAAGTTTTTAACTGCATCACTCTTGTGTTTGACCAGAAAATTGTTAATAGCTCTGGAACGCTATATGCTTAAATACTACAATCTCATCATGAAGAACAGCCATTGACAATATAGCAGTATCTTAAAATGTTTACCTTTCCTTCATTTAGTTGCAAGAGAGCGTATACAATAATGTTAGTACTTATGACTACAAAACTCCATAGATCACATACAAATTATGTTACACTCAATTTGTTACACATTTTTAAGGTTGCATAGTTGGTTTCAATACAATAGGAGAGTTTGTCTAATGGAATATTTTAAAAGTTATTTTGGATCAAAGAACATCTTGAAAAGGAACATTTGCTTCCCACTTTGCCATTTCAGAATTCAGTCTTACGTAACATGTTATCTGGAGTGCGTTCCACTGAATTCAATCAGATCTACTTCTGAGTTAGACATGTATTCTATAAATTCAAAAAAAATTTCAAGCTGTTTTTTGGGCTTAGTAGAATTTAGGAGATAGAGTGGGATAACTCAAAGGGCAAACATAAATACATCAGCACTTTCATTCTCTTTCATTAAATATATAATAACTACTGTATATTAACTCTAGTGAGAGCCAGTTTGGTGTAGTGGTTACAATATCAGGCTAGAAATGGGGAGACCGGGAGTTCTAGTCCTGCCTTAGGCACAAAGCCAGTTGGGTGACCTTGACACATTCTCTCAGCCCTAGGAAGGAGGTAATGACAAACCACTTCTGAAAAACCTTGCCAATAAAACTGCAGGGATTTGTCCAGGCAGTCTCTGAGAATTGGACATGACTGAATGGATAGGAAAAAAAATTAACTCTAGTACTTTCCCTATGCTATGTCCCACTTATTTCACTGGACTATATCCATGTATATTAAAGTATAGCAATTCTCTGAATCTCAATTAAGAGGTAAATTTAAAAATGATTTCAATCTCCTTAAGATAAGTACTCATTAGTTAATCAGACCATATTGTTACATTAGGAAGAAATCCCAAGTAGGTAGTATGCTCAAGTGATTAAATTGTGAAAAGTACTATCAGCTTTCAGTCAACTAATTCATTATTAATATAGTTTTTATTTTTTCCTTACGATATTAGCTATACCTACATTCATTCGTTCTTCTGTTATAGCTTATTTTGAGATACAGATTGTCCCACCATAAATATTCCAAGGTAACTATATTCTGTTCTATGTACCAAGACAGTCGTATGATCTGCCTCTCGATAATACACATCACTGAGAACAAAGGGTATCTCCAGAAGATTATCATGACCCACAACTCAATAACCTATTTGCCAATAATCACCCAGCTAATATACCTGAAGATTATAGCTATTCTTGATAAGACAATGCAGCCTATTCTTTATTTTAAAAAAAAAAAGATTCCACTACATAATGACAGTTAATGATGTAACAAAGTACTATCCTGTAAGTATTCATAACATTTGTATATAAACTTCTGCCCAGCAACAAGCTCGTATCAGTCATTCTATTAAGGTCACGGGTAGGGGACAGAAACAAAATGTCACAATTTACATACAGTGGTGCTTACAGGTTTGTCAACCTTTTTGAACTTTTTATATTTCTGCATAAATATGACCTAAACCATGATCTGTTCTACGCACAAGTCCTAAAACTAGATAGAGACCGCCCAATTAAATAAATGAGTCAAAAACATTATATTTGTTCATTTATTTACTGAGGAAAATCATCCAAAGCTACATATTTGTGTGTGGCAAAAGTATGTGAACCTTTGCTTTCAGTAACTGGTATGCCCCCTTTGGGCAGCAATAACTGCAACTAAACATTTCTGGTAACTGCTAATCAGTCCTGCACATTGGCTTGGAGGAATTTTAGCCCATTCCCCCTTACAGAACAGCTTCAACTCAGGGATGCTCACAGGCTTCCTTTCATGAACTGTCTGCTTCAGGCCCTTCCACAACACTTCTATAGGATTAAAGTCAGGACTTTGACTTGGCCATTCCAAACATTAACTTTCTTCTGCTTCAATCATTCTTTGGTGGCATGACTTGTGTGTTTGGGTCATTGTCCTGCTGCATGACCCACTTTCTTTTGAGCTTCAGTTCATGAACAGATACCCTGACATTTTCCTGTAGAATTTGCTGGTACAATTCAGAATTCATAGTTCCATCAGTGACATCAAGCCATTGTGGTCCAGAGGCAGCAAAGCAGGCCCAAACCATGATACTGCCACCTCATTTTACAGATGGGATAAGGTTCTTATGCTGGAATGCAGGGTTTGCCTTTCGCCAAACATAACACTTTGGTGAAAACAAAAGCCAAAAAGTTCTATTTTGGTCTCATCCATCCACAGAACATTCTTTCAATAGCCTTCTGGCTTATCCACGTGGTCTTTACAAACTGTAGACGGGCAGCAATGTTCTTTTTGAAAAGTAGTGGCTTTCTCCTTGTAATGCTGCCATGCACACCACTGTTGTTCAGTGTTGTTCTGATGGTGGTCTCATGAACATTGCCATTCACTAATGCAAGAGGGGCCTTTAGTTCCTTAGACATTATCCTGGGGTTCTTTGAGACCTCCCAGAGTATTACACACCTTGCTCTTGGTGTTATCTTGGTTGGTCGACCACTTCTGTGGAAAGTAACAATGGTGTTGAATTGCCTCCATTTGTACACAATCTGCCTGACAGCGGACTGGTGGAGTCCAAACTCTTTGGAAATTGTTTTACAAACTTTTCCAGCCTGGTGAGCATCAGCAACTGTTTTTTGGAGGTCCTCAAAATTGTTCTTTGTTTGAGCCATGACACACTTCCACATCCCTGTGTTGTGAAGATCAGACTTAGATAATGAATACCCAGAATTCAGTTCTTTAAATAAGGCAGGACCTCCCACACTCACACCTAATCATTATACCATTGATTGAAACGCCTGACTCTAATTTCCTTTTCAAATGAACTGATAATCCTAGAGGTTTACATATTTTTGCCACACACACAAATATCAAAAAGATATTTAAAATCCTTTTCCTTTAATGGTTAATTTTTCATCAATATACTGGGCACCTACAATGCAACTTTTGCAACTTCTTTGTATCAATCTTTTTTTCAAATCAAGATTTTAACATCTACAGCATTACCAGTAAAATTGTACTGTTGCAGCAAAACAGAAAACAATAGAGAGTGAGATTAGATTTTCTGTTTAGCCACAGGAGTAGTTCAGAGAACACTGAAAAAGAGGTATTTGTCCTGTATTAAGGACCCTGGGGAAACCTAAGCCAACCAGAGGAAGTGTAAAGACAAGTAAACCACTTCTAGCTGGTAACTCAGAGCACAAAGAGCTGCCCATATTCCACAAAAAATAGATTTAGCTTTACAAGTAGCTTTCACTATCTTCAGGTTTTCTGAAAAGATACTATTTGGTACAGTCACCAAGTCTGAATATAACAGAGATAGGCAACCCTTAGCCAGCTGAGTACATGCAGCCCCCAGACTAATTTTCTTGAAGTTACGCAATGAAATGATTGGCTTTAATGACATTTTTGCATTTTTTTTAAAGGCAATAAAGCCTTAATAAGGTTTATTGGCTTACTGCACAAATCATGCCTTAAATCTCTCTCAACCCTTCTCCAAAATTCCAAATGCTTAAGTTCATGCCTTCCAATAACATCACCTTACCACTGTCACAGCTCTTTCAGCCCTCAGAAGCCCAATTTTTAAAAAATTAAAAACAAAATGTGACCTCCACCTGAAAAAAATTGCCTATCCTGATATAACTAAACAGTGCAGACCACAATCTTGACTTACAATTTTAAAAGCAATAATTTTCCATAAGCCAGGCCTTTGGATTCTGAAACAAAAAGTGCCTCAGATGCCTGTGAGTGTGCACAGAGCACCTGCCTGCAATTCTTTAAACCAAATACATTTTTTTTTCTGGACCACTCTACAGTTGTGGAGCTCAGCAGTGCAATCCCAGGAAAAGATCCAGCTACTTTAAGGAGTCACAAACATGTGCTTTGTGAGTGCCTTGTGCATATTTTTAAAATTATATCAAGGCTATGATGCAACCCTTGTTTGCTACTTTGGTAAAGAAAAAATCTTACTGCCTTCTTATACTGCTGAATTATAGAAATGCGCTCCCATATTGTAACTTACTTCTATTCCCAACTGACTAGTATTTGAACTGCTACACAGAAGAAGAATTATCTTATTTGGGTAAGTAACAATCCTGTATAACATGAACGGGATAGAAGATTGTGGTTAAATAGTAAGTATCAGCAGTCCTACTAACCATCTGATATGAGATGGAGCAACTTAGATAGGTATTAGCTCTATTTAAAAATGTCTCACACACACTTTAAATCAGTTAGTTAGACTTGAAAAAGAACTAAATAATTCATTCACCTTTTTCTCAGGATCTACAACTCCCGATGCAGCAACAGGGAGGTCAAGCTCCTTTTCACTATTAAAGAAAAAGAGAGAGAAACACACCTTCACTGATGATTAACACACAATATTAGCCTGAGATATTTTATTTAGCTAAGGCAATTCAACATGATATACAGATATTGTAATCCAGATCTTTCAGATCCAAGCTGAACCATCAATCCCAGAGCTGGAAAAGCTATAGCTCAAGCCACTGTAATCAGTTCTCAGATACGATGGAAACCAACAGATCCACCTAATGATCTGGAGAGCCATAGATCTATCCAATAAACTAAATCCCTCAATTCAGAGAGGAGACCTCCATAGCTGGATGATACTTTTATCAGAACTAACCAAAATGGCATTAAAGAGTATGAAAGCATCAGCATTCTCCAAAACATGTCAGCAGACAGATCTCAAAGGATAGGAAGAAGCAAAAAAGTCCAAAATTTACCACAGATGTTTTCAATCATGAGGTCTGTATTTTGGACATTTCCTTCATCTCAACCTGTATCTACTGTAGCTTTTTTTAAAAAAGCATATAGCATTTTGCTATAAATTTTGATTAATTTAAAACAAAGTTCATACATTTAAATCTAGAACAGAACAGGCTTGTAGAATCAAATTTGCTTTTGCTATACATCTGACTTCCACAAACCAGCACATGAATACTTGTATTTTTGCATTAGAACCTGTTTCATATTTATGAAAATTCTTGTCAAAATGGTGGCAGATTTTAAGATTCCTATAAAGGAATACATGCTGTGATGAAATAAAATGTCCAAAGTGATTTTACTACAATCAGTTTTGTAAAAGCCCATCCAACTATAGTATCATCCACAAAATGTGTTGCATTATTTTTGCACTTATTAACATACTGAAGTCTCAAGAGAATATTCTTCTCCAGTATGTGGTTCGAAGATTAAAATACAATTCATACAGAAAAAGAAGTTACACAATTATCATGTAGATACATTATTTTATATACAGGTAGGTCTCAATTAGTGCAATTAATGAATCCCACGAAATGATTGCATTACTGTATTCGAATTCACACTATTCGAAGTGATATTTCTATGGGTAATTGCTTCCAGCTTGATGGAAATAGGCAATTAACATAAATTTTATATGTTTATTAATGAAATACTATAAAACAGTAAAAGAGGATAAACATATATCCAAAGTGTATCTGCTATCTCCTAAATTCTGCTGTAGTTTTTCAAATTAGCCTCTTCTTTTTTGAGCTTTCCTCAAGTGGAACCTTCCTTTTCTCCATTTTGCACACACAACAATTAGCATCTAAATCCCCAATGGCAAATGTGTATGCACTAGCCTCAACTGTGCCATGCTACCCTTGCACTAACTGCATTTCGGCTCACATTAAATGTGACCTAGTATCAATTTATGATTTGCACTAAATCGAATATTGCACTATTCAAACTCGCACTAATCACAACCTACATACAACCTTTTTTATACAACCTATAAAAAAAAGTTTTATGACTAATCATTCATCAAATAATTTTTAACCAATAGCCTTCTATTACCGTCTCTTATTTCTTTGCTGCTCAGCCATTTGCTCCATTAATTCCTGCCTATATTGTTCTTTTCTTCTCTGAATAAGCTCTCTGTCTTGACCTCCTAAAAAGGAAATAACACAGAAGCAAACATCTTTCTCTTCAGCCAAAGATATGCCATATATATTTCTACTACATAATTCCATTAACATTCTAACCATGGTAAAAAACATCCTTATATCCAGAGCCTGAACTACAGCTTACTCCCTAGATAACAAACCAGATAAAACAGGTATCTGCAAATCCCACTGGAATTAAATAATAAAGTACAGTCATGTGAAAAAGAAAGTACACTCTCTTTGATTTCTATGGTTTTATGTATCAGGACGTAATAAAAATCATCTGGTCTTTAGCAATTCTCAAAAATAGGTAAATACAACCTCAGATAAACAACAACACATGACATATTACACCATGTCATCATTTATTCTACAAAAAGACAGCCAAAATGGAGAAGCCATGTGTGAAAAACTAAGTACACCTTATGATTCAATAACTTGTAGAACCACCTTTAGCAACAATAAGTTGAAGTAATCATTTTCTGTATGACTTTATCAGTCTCT